TTTTTTTAAAGTACTGTAGATAGTAAGTAAGTAGATGATAAGGATGAAACAACATTCTAGTGGAATGCTAAGAGATAAGAAATGGCAGGAAAATGTTCGATTGTTTCACAAATCATCCTTTCAAATAATGAAAACAGCAAGATGGCAAAACTTCTTTGGAAAGTTTGGCAGTTAAACAAACACCATTTAGCTTAGCAATCCCACTTCCAGGTATCACCTGTCACCCAACAGGAATTTCCACAAGTTTTACACAAATATTCATAGTAATTGTATTCACAGTGACTCTGTGTTAGGGCAGGTTGACTAGATAAACAAATCTAAAGACACTCATTTATGTGTAAGAAATAAGTTATAACAAGGAGCAACTGGATATCAAGGAAACAAAAAGAAAAAGAAAACATCCCAGCCCAGTCTAAATCAAGTCCCTAAGTTGGATACTAGTCCACAAATCCCTCTTCAGACTGGAGTAGCTGCATGCAATGATGGAGACAGAACGCAGCTGGTGCAATCTTATGGATCCAATGGTTGTGGAAGTATCACAAGGTGAAATGGGGGGTGGGGACGGGACGGCAATTAGCTTGGTCACACCTCCAATCAAACTGCACCAACCTGATTGTAAGGCTAAATTCCACCCACATGTTCCTACGAAAGCCATGTTCTACACACACCCCGCCCCCCAAAAAACAAAACCCTAACTATCACAGGCTCCAAACTAGAAATAGCCTAAACGTTCATTAAGAGACTGAATAGTGAGTGATACAACCACACACTCAACAGAATAAATTATTTGTACCAGCAATAGCATGGATAAATCTTAAAACATACCAAGTGGGAAAAAAAGACAGAATTACATAAAACGTCAAAGTATGAAGATGAAAGCCACAGTGGCGCTACACCCAAGTACAGACATGCAATGAAAGCTTTGTGTAACCCCCATCAGCACGTGGGGAATTTGGTGGGTAACAGAAATGTTCTGTAAGGAGCTCTGGTGGAGCTCCACAAGGCTGGTAGTTCAAATCTAGCAGCTACTCCCATAAAAATGTATAGCTTCACAGAAAGCCTCAAAAACCCTATTAAGGTCACTATGAATTGGAACTAGGTTTGGAAAATATTCTGCTGTGGTGCCAATAGAATTCTCTATATTTATCAAAACTATTTCTGAGATCCAGAAAGCATTCCCGTGCACCATGTCTTTCTTGTTATTATTAAACCATGGTAATATAACACAGGCCTGTGTTGAGGCAATGGACTAAGAGGTTATAATTTCAAGAATTCCATGCTTTAATCTCAAAAGTCAACAAATGAAACACGCCATAGAAGCAACCATATAAATCAAGTTTCTGTGTCAGCTCCAACAAAGTATTACAAAAACTACTACAGTTTTAGACGAATAGTGCATATATTATTTTTTGGCCTTTAATTACACAGCTCACTTGCACATTACATGCACGGACACATGAATTGCAGAAAATAAGGTGTGGTTTTGCCACCGTATATAATGGAAAGCCAGCGGAACTACAGTGTCTAGTATAGCCTAAATTTAACAAAGCTCTCTACCTGGCCTCTGTTCCAGTTAATTTTCTTCACTTTTGTTTTACAGGTTTTCAAAAACAATAAGCATGATTTTTATAATGTGAGAATATATTAAAACCATGTAAGAGATAATTCAGTCCCAGTGAAATTCCACTGTTCCAGATTCAACTAAGTATAAGAGTCCCTTTCACTTGCTGACCTAACAATGGACAGAGGAACTATGTTGCACAGCTACAAAAGCAGCAGTTATTTGATAGATAATTCACATACCATGCAATTCCCCCATTTAAAATGTACAATCTATTGGTTTCTTATACATTCAGTTGTGCAGCCATACCCACTATCATCTTAGATCATTTGAATCACTCCAAACTCCTTAGCAGGGACCTCATAGTAGTTAGGCGCTGCTAACTAGCTGCAAAGTCCTCAAATCAAAACCACCAGCGCTCTGCAGGACAAAGGGGGTGGCTTTGTGTTTTCATAAACTCACAGGGCAGCTCTACCCTGCCCTACAGGTTACTTGAGTCAGAATGGACTCAATGACAGGGAGTATGGTTGTTCGCTCCATCCCGCCCCCCCCACCCAAATTAGCCGTTGACTCCATTTGAATTGTGCTGGAGAATATAGAAATTACGATGGACCGCGAAAAGGGGAACCAATCTGTCTTGGAAAATTGTACAGCCAGAGAAAACTAAGGATGGCGAGAGTTTACATACTACGGACATGTTTCCAGGAGAGACCAACCGGCCAATCACTGGACAACATCACTCTTGGTAAAGTGGCAGGGCAGTGATAGGAAGGCCCTCAGTAAGATGAATTGACACAGTGGCTGCAACAGGGGCCGAGGCGTAGGAACCAGGACGGGGCAGTGTTTCATTCTGTTGTGCACAGGGTCACTATGCCCCGTGAGAGCCAAGTTGAAGGCACACAACAACCTGAAGCTACTACCCATTATTTCCCCAGGGCGACTATCAAGCACCATTCTCTCTGCACTTGATTTTCTGGGCTTAGGACATCTCAGTATGCCACTCTTTTTAAAAGCTGAATAATTTCCCATTGTATTAATATACCATTTCATTTATCCATCTGTGTTAGTTACATAATCTGTTGTCAATCAGACTTACGCGAGT